TGTTTGTGGAGAGTTTCTTTTTCTGGCTGGACACTGTGGAGATGGTACGAGTTGCGGGGGAGCCCTTAGTTTTCCACTCAGCTTGGGTGTTTCCAATCTACATCCTGGCTTTCCTTTCATCTCTCCGGATGGTCATTTCTCCACACAGCTCCTTGCTGTCATTTGCTGGAGTTATACTGCAGGATTTTCCTTTCTTCATCCTTCGGGTTGCACTGATTGCAGTGTTTGGTTTTGTAACCCCTGTTTTTTATCCTCTCAAAAATGTTTTAGTCAGTTTATCTTATATCTACTTCACATGGATGACCAAGCTAAAGATATTTAAAAGGCCAACCATGTTCTAAAGAAGAGCAATGAAGGGACCCTTTTATTTGTGGATGTTTGGTGTTAAAGAGCAGCACCAGAGAGTCCTAGTGAAATGCTGTTTCTGCACTTACTGTAGTTCTCTAAAGATGTGTATAACTGTTTAAACGGAGTGTTTATACTTAAATGATGTATCAAAAACATTTTCTGCTTTTCTATAAAACTATTCCATTCTTTGAGAGAGTACTAATACCCCTTTTCATATTTGGTTACATTGAATCAAATCCTATCAAGCCTAAATCAAAAGTCTAGACTGAAAATATGACAATTCTTCTAAAATATTAGGTTATTGGGTTCAGGTCACATATGGGGGTGCTGTACTTTTCCAAAACAATGACTGTTTTGTATGTAGTCTATTGACTTCCATTTAGGCGCCATCTAACCGAAGCACCTTCCTTTATGTGCTTGTTGTGTCCCCTGTGTCCTGTGGTAAACTAGGAACATAACTTAGTGCTTTTAAATTAGCTTTGAATTTCTTCACAACTAAATCTTCAGTCAGGTTAAAAAAGCTGTTCTTGGTGGTTATTATAGTTCACTTAAGTTCTCTAACAAATCTCAGAGGCCTCTGTGCTTTTGGTGAGCTAAATCCCTACTGAAGGCATTTGGTTCCGCAGCAGTGGTGGCTGGCCAATAGAGGGCGCTATGGCGCTGCCCCACCCACCCAATGACTTTGACATAAAAAAAAGAAAACACTGACATTAAATTATAAAATTACATTTTTTAAAAATATGTTGATATGCATTTTTTAGATGTGCAAGATAAACATTTAATCTTTAATGACGAGTAAAGTTCTTTTCATTTTTTTAAATGTATGTACAATAAGCAAACCTGTACATGAAATTATGTTTTGTTTTTATAAATTGTTTTTATAATGTTTTTTGTTGTTGGCATTCATAAAAATACACTGGTTTGAAAACTTAGTATATGTTTGATTGTTTTTTTTTTTGTTTGTTTTTTTGGTATAGGTCTATTTTGAATTTATAGCTCCCCCCTGAAGAAAATCATGCAAATTTTTCACAAATGTACTACTTGCATCTGTTAACACACAAAAAGAGTAATACAATGTTTTCAAAAAATGCATTTGTATGGGTTTAGAATAACCACTATGTGAATGTTATTTAACGCAATACAAACTAAATAAGTGCGGGTGCCTCAAAGGCCCTCTTTGCTTAAAATGGCTAAAACCCTCTGAGGAATATTTATGGTGAAAAACAATTAAAATTCAAAAAGCATATTGATATATATATCAGTCTGATTTGAATGAGTAGTGTACATGATTTCTAAGGTTAATAAAGCATAAAAATTAAACCAAAACAAGAGTAAATATATCCCTTTCAAAATAAGATTCCAAAACAAATATTGCAGCTGAATAATGAGGAGGTGAGATAAGTCTAACACAGTGACATTTAGTTGAGATCACAAAAACTTAGGACTAACAAAGGATAAGAAGTCCTGAACCATGGGTGGTAGGAGGAAAACGAATCAAGGTTTTAATTCAACAAACCAGCGGAAAAAATTATTTAACAATGCACAAAACAATGAAAAAAGTATTTAAACGCTTAAAGATTCCTACGGTACTTGTCTATATATTTATTTATGTCTTAGGATTTTGTTTCTTTTTGGATGTTGTGTTTTTTTTTTGTCTCAGTGCATACCTCTCGGTGACAACAGAGTCATTTTACCTCTTTATTTAGGACATATTAAAAAGAATAACACACACAATTCAGATTGTGTTTGTTCCTGTTATAGATAAGCTTCAACACGCAATAGAAAAGAAATCTTAATGCATGTTAACAAGCACATCTGGCAGACTTTTTCCAACATAAATAGAGGAAATAATAAACAAATTCCCATGAAATTTAGGGTGAATATTGTTTCAAGACCTGACATATGATGTGAGGCATAATCAGCAATGAGCAGCTAACAGTGTAGAATCCAATCTGGTTGGCTTACATCTTCGAGCATAAAAACTACCGGTAAAAGGAACTTCCCCCAGTATCCCTATAGCCATAATCTTCCTGCTTCTCCATAATTCATGTTGTAATCTGCAAGAAGGCATTAGTACAGCATGAGCTTAACAGAATGGCTGTTTTGTAGTGCAGCTTGGTTGTGTGATGGAGAACACATTTTCACATTGCAGACTGAATGCTTAAGATGGACAGCAGAAAACAAAGCACTCTGAACAAACCTTGCTTAATGAGACACTCCCTACTCATTAAAAGGTTCTATTTTACTTATTTGTCAATATCAAATAAAGCTTTCATATACTCTTTTCGGAGTTTTGCATTAACCCCCTCCTTTCAAGTAATGCTAAGCTTATATAATAATAACCTTTCTTTTGTGAAGCATTTTTGTCAAAATATTTTTACAATATTTTGTTTATGCATTTTAGCACAAATAGGGACAGTAAAATAGGTTTCAAAACATAATTTCTTGAACTCGCTCTCACTGTCCTTGTGCTGCATGAACCACATTGACTCTTTTAAGAAACAAATAAAGACATTTTTACGTAAATAGGCTTTTTTTTTCTTCCAAAGTTTATTTATGCTTTACCATGTGGTACAATATAAAGACATAAAAAAAGTTATATAGATAACAATGTACCTTTAACATATAAAATAATTGGGCTAGAACCAACCCCAATATACCTACATATATACTCCCATACAGAATACAAAAAACAAAACAAAAAAAAATAAATAATAAAATAAGTAAATAATAAAAAAAATAAATAGTAATAATAATAATAAAATAAATAAATACAAAAAAGGATCAAGTCAGGTGAGAATAATGAGAAGTGGAAAGAAACTGATACATCAAAAGACAAATAATTAAAGTGAAAAGAACCACATTATTAAAACCATGTTATTATTATTTTTTTTCCTTCCTCTCACGTAAATAGGCTTTTAACTGGACTGTATATGCATTTATAGTGGGCTTGTAGTCTTGTTTTTATTATTGTGAAACACTTTCTGATTATAAATTTAACCTACATACTGATTTAGAAGACCATAGTAACTCATCCAAATTTACACATATCAAAAGGTTTAAAAAAACAGAGTTGTAACAACCAAGGGTGGAAAAAAACATTGTCTTGCAAACTTACACTATGAGTAGCCTGATATAATGACGAAAAAAAATCTAAGACTTTAAATAGCAGCAAAAACAGCAGTCTATTTCAGTATTGGACTATTGTCATGTCTTTCAAACTAGCTCAACCTAAATTTGGACGAATAGATGTAAAGATTTTTTTAATCTTGTCATCATTTTGTATTTATAGTGTATTTTGACAATGACTGGGCTATTGTACCACATTAATATTTTTTTTTACAAGCAAGTTTTTCCTAAAATATCCCATACCATACTACCTGCACCACTTTTTTTCAAGGTAATGTGTAAATTAAGCTTTTTTTGCCCACACCTATGCCAGTTGTCATATAGATGATGAAAGTTTATTATGGTTTCCAACTTCCCTGTTTAATACTACCCAGTGAGATCAATCAAGTCAATCAATCAATAATAGACATCTTACCTACAACATTAAACAATTCGATTGACATCTCATTAGAATACTTTGAAGATTAAGATGATATTATGATAAAATAATAAAAAGTTCAAGCTGCCCAGTTGCAGGTCACTGTTAAAGGCTAAGTGCTTTTGCCATTTCTTGTCTGCTGCAGATCCAGAGCGTTGAAGCCCATAGAATGAAACTAAAAGAGAGGTCCACATTGTCCCAGTTCTAAATCATTACACTGGCTCTTGTATATCAGAGAATAGACTTTAAAATAGTTTCTCTCAGCAGGAATACATTGCAGATTGATGTCAGTGTATCAACTACCCAGACCTCGAGCCTGTAGGGCTCTAATCTACTTTGCATACCAAGAATCAGAACTAAACGTGGAGCAGCAGCATTTAGTTCTCATGCTCCTCTAATCTGGGAAAAAAAACTATAAGAAAACCAACATAGTGCTGAAACCTTCCAGTGCATTAAATCCAGATAAATGCTTATTTGTTAGGCCTTTGACTGTGCTATCTACAGTATTTAAATAAATAGTTCAACGTTCTTTCTTTTTATAATAATATTTGCACTTTGAATTGTCTTGCTACTTAAATATGCTATATACATATAATTACCTTGCCCATTTAACTTAGTTGTTGAAAAAAAAACTTACATTGTGATACCATAATAAACCTTACCCTCTTGCTATTGCAAGATATTAGTATCTGGAAGCTTGTGGTTTCCTAGTTTAACGTTTTTTTTTAATTCTTTCATTCAGAAAAGGCTCAAACATAGGAAACCCATTTTTTACTGCACTTGCAGCTTTAATTTTTGTTTATCTGGAAAATTTTCAACTTTTATTCAGTTTGTCAATAAGTAACACATTACTTTTTGCACCTTTAATAGAATATGCAACAAAAAATTAAGATTAATCAAATGGGAACAAAAGCAGATTTTAGAGTGGACAAAGGAACAGTAAGGAGGAAAATGAGATAGAGGAAGAAAATAAAGACAGAACAGATACTGTAGTGTGATAGGAAAGGAGGGAGAGAAAGACGAGAGATACGAGGCTGCTGAGCAAGACAGGAGGCTTTGTAAATCTGACAGACTAGAGGCGCATTTAAATTCAGGCTGTGTTTCTCCTGCGCTAGCGAATGTTACCCAGCTCTAGCATGGCAACAGAGAAAGGCAGTAATTTAGCTGCAGCAGCTCAACAAACATGCACAGACAGCTGCAACGGAATCGCTAAGAGTGACTCAGGTAAGCTGAAATGCCCCTGAAGAGACAGTAACCCCATGGTGAAGGAAAAAGCATGCACAGTAAGAAGGAGAGATAGTGGATGAGAAAGAGGAGGAGCTACATAACTGGAGTCTTTAAGGGGAGAAAAAAAGGAGGACTGAGGAGCACTGAACCTGAAACTGTCTGACTCTGGACACCTATAGTGGGCTTAAGAGAGAGGGATCAAGACATGGAGTGATAGATGGGATCTGACTAGACTAATGTGACGCTGGGAGACTCAGAAAACAGAAACCATAGAAAATTATATTCAGTTTCAGCAGAAGACTGTTCTCGTTGTTTAAACTGGAGTGCAGGCTGAAGGATTCTCAACAGGGGAGGCTGAGAGACTGAAAGAGGAAAGGGGGAATGGAAGGGCAAATATGGAGAGCGACAGATGAACCACCTGTTCTTTTAAAGATGAGGTGAGCATATTCACACCAAGCTGCTCTTCAGAATGACTCATGCTACATTGGTGGTGGATATCTAAATGTCTTCCTACAGGATCACCTGGAATTGGTCTAAAAAGAGGAAGCAGACACTGAACTCCCCAGGTGACACCCCCTCGCCACACTCCCACCACCCTTTAAACAACTTGTGGACTTCCTAGTATGGAGACTTCATCATCCATGGAATCCCTGATGAGCTTCTCTTAACAGGCCAAGAGGGTTCAATTAGTGAACTGGTCATTAAGCGACCCACCCCCTGGAGGCTTAACAGGCCTGCCCCCTCCTCTCCCTTAAACTTGATATCTTGATGCATTGCTGTGGGCTGGGACACTGGCGGAGAGTGCAGTCCACCTATGTAAGTGGCAGCATCACCTGCAGGATCCATACGCACTCTTTTGATCGCATGGCAACAGCGTAGTCTTGCGGGTAAAGGGGAGTGTATACAGAGGGGGAGACAGCAGTGTATTTACTAACACATGTGCATTCAGGCATCTTGTTTATCTGCTGTATGTTAGCATGCTCAATTACACATGCTATGAGTTTGGAGTTGTGACTCCTGATCATGTTATTTTTCTATTCTCAGCAGAGCTTAGGTCTGTTTTAAGCAAAAAAAAAAAAAAAACATTTCAAAATGATTGCCCCTTATGTGCTGATAAGCTATAAATAAATGAGCCAATATGTTCTGCTTATTTCAGGCAGCTGATTGAAATGCTGCCTTCTTGTTTAGCTCTGATCCTCGGTGATGATGTGAAGGGTCTGCATGGTTCATTACAAACTGAAAACCTGACCTTACAAGCATTGATCATGTGTATTTATATTTAAGACACTGAGTGCCTTTTTGAGCAAGAATATTCAAAATATTTCCATTTTTCAAACAGGAATCCAGTGCCATGATATGAAAACCTTATCATCTATTTTCTTGGTTTGGTTAGCTGAGTAGAATTTGCCTGATCAAAAAGCATGGAACAGATTTCCTTCTTTTTGTATCCTAGCAATGGTTTACAGTTTTTTATGGAAAATTCAATACTAAACCTTTTATTTATACTAAAATCAAACTCTAAGGTGTATCAAAATCCCTAGCTTTTAGTCTTATTGCATCTAGTTGCTTCTTGATTTCTAAAACTGCATTTTGGAGGAAAAGACAACAGCTTTATTCCTTTTTTGTATAATTTTAACGCAACCTCTCATTCATACTAGGACATAAAATTGTCTGCATACACATTGCAAGATATGTTGTAACAAGTCATGATATGAGCTTGGGGGAATTAATAGATAAATATACCCTGAGATCAAAGCTTTGCAGAGCTCTATTTGGGATCTTTGCTAATTTATATGAATCATTTGTCAATTTGCAAAACTGACAACCTGATTTCATATAACAGTATTAAGCAGTTTCTTAATTAAGGGTGTTTGATGCAGAAAAAGATGAACAAGTGTAGGTTTAACAATCTCTCAAGGACAGAACTGGAGTTTTTTTTCAACATATTTGTCTTTCTTTCCTTTCTTTTAACTTTCCTCTTAGATTTGTCTTTATTTCATTCTCTATTTTTGCATATGAATGCGTGTGTTGATAAAGTGTTATCATGTTAATTAATGCAGTGCATTTTGTGATAGCGTTAACTGCAAATAACCTCATTATCAGCGTATTCCCCCTTGTAATGCTGGCTTACTGTCGGCCCTCAGTGCTCTCCCTGAACTGTCAGCTTAGAGCCTCGCAGAATAACCTCAGTACAGCAGGAGTGCGCACCTCAGCAATAAACCAGAAGAGAGAAGTTTAGAAAATCAGGATGAATATGAGCAGTGTCAAAACAAATGACAGCTCACATTGTGGTAAAGTGGGTGAATGACTGAACGTAGTGTAAAGCACTTTGGTCAAGTCTCCTGACTTAAAAAAGCGCTATATGAGCACAGGTCAACTTATAATGTAAATTGATGATGAAGTCTATAGCCTCCAGAGGGTACTTCTAGTTCTTGAGTGATCAGGAATTCTAAATAAATATGTAAATATAAGACTTTACAGATGTAAACTTTAACAGGATTTAATGACAAATTAAAGTTTAGCGGAGAACTGTTTTTTTTCCAAAGGGAATTGATGGATTGTCGAAAAACATTAATACAACTCAAAACTAATTGACCAAATAATAATTTTTATACTTTTTGTGCAAAATTCCTTATACAATTCTATCCATCCATCCATCCATCCATCCATCCATCCATCCATCCATCCATCCATCCATCCATCCATCCATCCATCCATCCATCCATCCATCCATGTACATCATGAACAGGTCACCAGGTGCAGTAGGAGAGTGGCCAACCTAGCGGTTAGGCATAGGGCTTGGAATCCTGAGGTTGTGAGTTCAACACCTATTCCCACAGACTGCAACACTGGGTCTCAGTGCAAGACCCTCAGCCCCCGATTGCTGCACAGTGGCAGCCCACTGCTCCCCAAGGGATGGGTTACCGGTAAATGCAGAGAGTTAATTTCGTTGCTCTGTACTTGTGACAGTGTAATGACAATAAAACGCGAGGGGAAAATAAAGTCCATCACAGTTTTACAATTCCCACATCAGATTTTATTTAGTTAAAATCCCTATAAAATACACCCTTTAAACTGTGATTTTCTATGTAGAAAACAAGCAATGGTTTTAATTCTATTAATCCCTCTTTCTACCAATCATTCTCTATTCCTGTCTGGCCAATCAGAAGCTTACTGGCCAGATTACAATCATTATGCAGGCTGGAGAGGACCATGTATCCCTCTGTTTTTAACCGTATTTAACATGGCATATAAATAAAACATCAAATTATAGAGCAAAACATTGTTTTTTTATTTTAATTTAGGACTTAATAGTTCTCAATCCTGCTGTGCTCTCTTTCGGCATCCTTCATTTTACTCTTTTCCCTTTTAGCCGTCTCCCTCACTTTTCTATTTCCTTCATGTCCCACTCGATCTGATGTCAGGAGAGCAAAGTAAACTCTGTGTAGGTTCATACCACTAATCTGTATTTATTCAATGGATTATTGATTGCCCATTGGTAGTACGTGATTGAAGTAAATCCACCGGCTGCCATATTGGTACTCCCTTGTTAGACCTGTCACAATGTAAACAATATGTGCAGTGCAGTATCGAGCAATGATGATGTTCTTATTTTCAGGGGCAGTCAAGACTTTTAAAATAAAGATAAATGCATAACTTTGACACACACTTGCTGTTTCATGGCATCATTAGATTACTTTAACTTGTGATAAAAATTAGGCACATCACATTGCATAGTCATTAGGAAGACAATGAAGTCTCTAAATCATGTAATACAACATGTTTATAAGTAATGTAATATAACAATTGCACCACAATAAAATTAATGTATATATATATATATATATATATATATATATATATATATATATATATATATATATATATATATATATATATATATATATATATATATATACAGATATATATGTATATATACATATATATATATGTATATATATGTATATATACATATATATATGTATATATATATATACATATATATGTATATATATATATGTATATATATATATACATATATATATGTATATATACATATATATATGTATATATACATATATATATGTATATATATATATACATATATATGTATATATATATATACATCTGCCTCTGACAACCATTTCTGGAGATTGCATTGTTTTTCTTTGGCTCACACTCCTCCTCCACCTCCTCATAGGATAATGTTTTACTTGGTCTTGTGGGCAGGCGGGGCTCCAGGCAGATCTAAATCTGGTGAGGTTTGTTGGCACAGGGGGCACAAAGTGGAGGATGGAGGAAGCTGGCACTGCAGCGAGGATGCCAAATCTGTCAGGAGTTGGGTTCTCTGGCTTTCCATCTGGGGGCCATGTCTAAGCTTCTGAGGACAAAGAATGTCTCCAGAGTGAGTACTGGCACCATATCTGGTATGTTAGGTAAGAATGAGGAGGAGAGGGTTGCTACTAGATAATGCGAGACAATTGAAATATTTTTTTCTTGCTGTTATGTAGCATTATCTAGTCTAAAGCAGTATTAGTGTTTTTTTTTTTTATAAGAAACTGCATAATTCTGTAAACAAACATTTTATCATGGTTCTTTTGCACCTCTTGTTTTCAGTGAAATGCTTATGCAACCAAAGGCGATTTGCACTGTTCTGAATTTTTGTCTTAAGGTCCTGTTAAAACACATCAATATGTTAACATCTTAAATTGCAACAGTTCCTTCCTTATTTTTATTTTTTATTTTTTTGTATTTTATATACTCTAATAATCCCAGAGGGTAATTACTTCTCTGCATTTAACCCATCCCCTTGGGGAGCAGTGGGCTGCCATTGTGAGGCACCCGGGGAGCAGTGTGGGGTTAAGGGTCTTGCTCAGGGACCCAGAGTTGCAGTCTGTGGGAGCGGGGGATCCAACTCACAACCTCAGGATTCAAAGCCCTATTCAAAGCCCTATGCCCTAACCACTAGGCTGCCACTCCCACTTATGGCATCTTGAATCTGAATGCAGATTAGTTGGTCCATGACTAACAATAAGTAGTTAGAGAGGCCAATGGATTTTAAAAAAGGGACAAAAGTGTACTTTTACTGCCTTTAAACAACATCGGTCCCAAGAAAATGTTTTTGTAACTTGCCGGTCAATCTACAAGTTTTTGTCAGACTTGAGATTTTGTTAAAGCAAACTCTTGTCTGTATCAGGTATTTCAAAGCCAATGACACTTTTGATACCCTGTTTTCTTTAAGATCCTCAAGCTAAATCTAAAATTGAAAATGTAACTAAAGTAAATAGAACAGAGGATTTCCTATACTAAAGGGTAACATCCTTGCAAAGATGCAATATGTCAGTTACCTTCCTTTACATCCCAGTGCAATAAATGTGGTCTACTTTTTGCAGAACTGTCATCGTAGAGGGTTTATGAGCTTTACCATCCAAAGCTTAGAATGGCTTGTCTAAGGTGATGCCAATATGAACCTTTTTACAGACATTGACTAGGCCATCTCATTTTTGTTACAATATTTAGATGTTGACATGCCACGTGCTTTTTAAATACTCATGGTGCATACATTAAGTTAACTGGTTGAAAGACCAGTTTTATAAAACTAAGAGCTGTTTAAAAGTAAATATTTACTCAGACAGACAGATGCTTAGCATCTTCTAACATGTATTCTGTTTAACTGGGCTTCATTTGCTAATTTAGCAGATCAAAGGTTTGTCTATAAGTTTCAAACAAATACAGGAACGTATTATCTTCAGTTCTGTTAGCTAATCAAAAATCCAAAAATCTTGCTTTATTATTTGTGGACCTACAGTTAACTA